AATACAAATTAAAAATCCCTAATTTGATATATATAAGCAAATAAGTAACTTGTGAGCTAGTTGTCCCATGTTGAATAGAAGTAAACATATACAAAATGTATACATTTGAGTAATTTCATGCAAACTATATTATTTGAGTCTAATTGTCTCAAAATAAAAAGATATGAATTAAATAAAAAAAAATTATCTAGAGGACTCATTCGCTTCAATGTGACATGCATAGGTCTAACATGCATGCATATACACCACGGATATATATTGAGTTTGGATCTAATTCATGTTCGCCTAGCTCGCCTTCCTACAAAATACATTATTTTATCTTTGACATATGTAGATCACTTGCTTTACTTTCCATGGAGTCCTGGATGGATGAGAATTGATCATCAACATTAGTTTATAACACATCACACGATGACAAAATAAGGCAGGCTTCATAATTTCTGCTTTTTCTTTATGATTGTGATTGCATGGGCCTCTGTATGCTGTAACCTTGTTGCGCACCACTGGTGCGCTTTTGCTTTTCCCGTTCAAAAGGAAAAAAGAGGAGAAAAAAAAAATTTTTTTTGAACAATTTGTATATATTTATAGGGTTAATTAAAGGAGGAAGGAAAGAGATTTCGTAAGATTCGAAAGTACAATCCATCGGAAGTGAACAATTCTATCCCAAAATTCAATGCCACTGAAACGAAGTAAGCCGTGCGAAGAGAAAATTTAAAGAAATGTGTAAAGAAAATTGAATGGGAATGGGATTCCGTGATCGATGCTTTAGTTCTTGGGAACCTTCGGGTTTAGTTCATGTATAGTCTATTGACTCTATTCTCACCTTCTCTCTTTTTAATTTATTCACACGTTTCCGTGACTTGACCTACACAAATCTTGAGTCTATTTATTTAATTTTCTAAAAAATTAAAATTTTATTATCTAAAATAATTATAATTTAAAATTTTTTTCAATTCTTAAAAATTTTAAAAATTTAGAATAAAATTAAGTATTTCATAAATCAATTAAGTATAAATTTTTGAATATTTATTTTAAAATTTTATATCTAATAATTTAGTCATTTTAATTTTTAATGATTAATTTTAATTATTAAATTTTAAAAATTTAAATTAATAATTAAAAACTACAATTATATTAAACTGAATCTAAGACTATTTAAAATTTTAATATAAATATCCACCATCAAAAGTATAAAAGTTGTCAAAATTCATAAAAATACCTCTTTCTCATAAAACCAGCCCTTTTACAATAGCAAACGTGAAAGATATTAACAAAAGCCCAAAAGTTATTAAAATTACAAAAATACCACTCTCTCACAAAATCCCACTAATTATGACAGATATAAGAGGAAGTTATTTTTATCATTTATTTCTTTAAATTTTATAATATTATCATTTAATTCAATACAATTTAAAAAAATAAAAACATATGAGAGAGACAGAGACCAGGGTAAAGTTTTTTTTCTTTTTTTTGTTCTTCATGTGATGAACAGAATGGATACTCTATCCTAAATGAGAATACTGCTAGAAAATTTGAATTTTAACCCCTCATTTCTCCTTTCCTCACCCTTTAATTAAAAAATATAGTAATAGTAGATAATTACTTTTGTTTAAAAAAAAAAAAAGCCGGAGTAAAGTTATTTTAGAGAAATATAGAAGAAAGAGGCAGTACCACGTGGGCCTATGTACGTTGTAACTTTTTTCAGCACCACCAGTGCTCTGTTTGACAAAACCTGTTACTTTTGCTGTTCAAAAAGAAAAAGAGAGGAGACAATTGAATGTGAATGGAATCCTTTAATTACTGGGAACCTTCTTGGCCAAGTTCCTGAATAGTTTACTCTTGCCCTCTCTTTCTCCGTAACCTACTCACAGGCTTCGTAGAACTGACTTAACAATTGATCGTTAAGTCAGCCAAACTTGCACCACAAAGACAATTCAGCAGCTTGTATTTTTT